AAAAGTTTAATGATTTTTACAATGAAGTAAATGAAAATAGTGACTTTATTGTTCAAACCGATATCAATGAACTTGCAATGAAGAACAATCAGATAAAAGTAACTGAAGCTGCATTTCGAGAAGAAATTGCAACAAAATTAATAGAAATAAGATCTGGTCACAAGACTCCAATGGAAATAGAAAACATATTAAACAAATTTTACAAAAAACCTGGCTTTACCACAGATATTTTAATGTTTATAGAAAAGTATAAAAAATTAAAAAATGCAATCAATCAAATTAAAGTTTTCAAAGAACAAAATATTATTTATTTGAGTAAAAATGATTCACCAGATGGTCTTCCAATGAAATATAATGATAGAGATATTTATTTATTTTACATGAATGAAGAACTAAAAATAAAACTGAATGAGCTTTATGAAGATAATTATAAATATTTTTTAGATTTAGTTCGACATATGAAGGAGACGCAATCAAAATTTTTTATCATTGATTATGATATACATCATGAAGTAAAAACACAAAAAGAAATAAAAATTCATTATTATAGAAATGGAAAACTTATAACTGATAATCTTTATCAAAATAAAAAAGAATCTTTAAACTGGTGTATTGCAAAATCACCATTAATATCGATCAAATTAAACAGACCAGTTACAACTACAAAACTTTATATTCCTTGTGCTGGAATAAAATCCAACTGTCCTCGAGACAAAAAAAATTGGAAATGCGAAAAATGTGAAACATTTATTGAATATGGTTATGATAACAAATTTTATTGTGGTTGTGGAGGAGCTTTAGCTGATTCTTATTTATTTAAATGTAGTAGTCCACTACACCCTGATAAATTTCTCACATTCACAAAAGATGAATTGGAGCGTTATTTACCAAGTAAAGATACAGAAAATGAAATTAATATTTTACTACTTGGTGAAACAGGTGTTGGAAAATCAACGTTTATTAATGCACTTATTAATTATTTAACTTGTTCTTCACTTGAAGAAGCAGAAAAAGAAGAACTTTTGATAGGAATTTTTACACAATTTACTCTTACAGATGATAATTATATGGAACGTATAATAAAGATTGGCAATGAAGATAATGAAAGTATTATTGTTGGTCAATCATCTACACAATATGCAAAAGCACATGTTTTTCATATAGATGATTTAACTTTAAGAATAATTGATACACCTGGAATTGGTGATACACGTGGAATTGAAATGGATAAACAGAATTTACAAAATACACTTTCATACATATCTAATTATGGTCATTTAAACGGTATATGTATTCTATTGAAACCTAATAATGCTAGATTAGATTTGGCTTTTCGATATTGTATAAAAGAACTATTGACAAATCTTCATAAAAAGGCTACAGAAAACATTGTTTTCTGTTTTACAAATTCTCGTAGTACATTTTATAAACCGGGCGATACATTACCAGCTTTGAGAACTCTACTGGAGGATTTAGAAGAACAATCTGGTGTATCCATACCTTTACAATCAAATATATTTTGTTTTGATAATGAATCATTTCGGTTTCTTGCAGCATTAAAACAAGGTGTACAATTTAATGATGAAGATAAAAGTGACTTTTCTAAAAGTTGGGCTAGATCAGTTAAAATGACTGAAAATATGATGAATTATATTTCAAAATGTCCAACTCATAAAATAAAAGAAACTATTACTTTAAACGAATCTCGTAATCTAATTATGCAATTATCTACGCCAATAGCACAAATATCTCAAAATATTCAATTGAATATCAAATTGGCTCAAGATCGAAAAAAAGAACTTGCAGCAAATGAATTATCGATTAACGAATTGAAAGACAAATTAAATATCCCTCAAGTGGATCTAGAACCTGTAAGTTTAGATTATCCTCGTACCGTTTGTACACAGTCAAAATGTACAAAAGTTGTTAAATTTAAAAATATTGAAAAAATTGATTATGTCACACATTGTCATCCTCATTGCAATCTGAAAGATGTAACGACCGACACAGTTAACAATTCGGCTTTGCGAGAATGTGCTGCAATGGTTAATGGAAAATGCACGGTTTGTAATTGTCCATGGACAACTCATATGCATATCACGTATGAAAATAAACGTATAGTCAGAACTGTAATTGATGATAATGTTCAAAAAATGATTTCAGAAAAGAAAAATAATTATGAATTAATCTCTGCTTTAATTGATAATTGTGATTGTTTAATCAAAGAATTAAAAGTTGAACAAGATCTTATTACGCAAATTAGTGCAAAATTTGCAAATTTTACTCGTCAAAATGCAATCGCCGTTTTCAATGATGATCTTGAAGATTATCTTGAACATTTAATTAGAGAAGAAAAAGAGAAACGTTCCAAAGGTTCTCAAAATACTTCAGTTATTGAGGGTTTAGAAAGCATGAAAAATAGTTACAAAGAACAACAAAGAATATTCGACCAAGCTATTCAAAATAACGAACCATGTGATGTAGTTGAATTAAGTCAAATACCAGAACTAGTTCGTCAATTATATTCATTAAAACATAATGGTGAACAATTACGACGAATTGTAAACGAATTAAAAAGCAGTAAAAGTCGTGCTATTAAATTTACGGAAAAAAAACATGATATTAACCGTAAAAAGAGTAAGAACAACGACAATATAATTATAGCGGGAATCAAAAAATTTGGAAATCTATTTAAATCATAAATGTGACATTATCGAACTTGTAAAAGAAATTCGAAATCTTAAAGAACTTTCTCATTAAAACAACAGGTGGTGCATACAGAATTGTATTGTTTGTATCTTTATCATTTTTTCTCCATTATCCCATTGCTTAAAATGCTTTTTTTTAATCAAGAGACAGCGCTTGAAATTCTCTACAAAATCTTATATGAACTAGTTCAGATATTGTTTTGCACATATTTAAAACCACATAAATAAATATATAGAAGAACTTGTAAAAAATAAATATGAAATTGGTGAAGAACTAGCAAATGTTACCTCAGTCAAAAATGATTCACAGATCACTTTTATGCATCCATATCGAACAATCATTGCCTATGGCCTTAAAAATAGACTATTCCTTGCCGGTACAGAGAATGTATCAGTCTAATTATAACCACTATTAAAGACATTTCAAACCATTCGAATCTCTTGCTTCAACTGATTCTTAATTACCTGACAAGAGGAACAAATCTCACCGTGTCATTAAGACTGTCTAAACTAACATCAATCTATTATTATGTCATAATTTGTTGTCAAGATATCTATCAGATATGAACCGAGTGCATGCCATCTTTAGAGATATTATTGAATTCAATTCAGTTAACTTTTAATACAAAAGTAACTGCATGCTGAGAAATAGGAAGGAATTGGTAATTATTTTCAATCTATACGTATCTTTATACATGCTCTTTTATTTGCGATGATCTAAAACATCTGTAAAATTTTTCATAACTCTTATAATGACAACTAAAAATTATCTATGAAATAATTCATATGTAGTTTTATTTTTTCACCAAAGGTGACAATATTTCTAATGAGGCCAAAAATATAACTTACCATTAATATATTTCTACTTTATTCGCAATAAAAAGAACGTTAAATAAATTTCTACTAGTAACCGACTATCCAATTCATTCGAGTGTATCGAATTGGAGATATTTCTACAGTTTTATCGTGATTCTATTTATGATATATTTTCAACATGGATTTGTTTATTATAACATCATTTATTCTTTGATAGTTGGGTGTGGGTGTGTGGGTGAGGGTGTGGATGGGTGTGGGTTGTGGGTGGGTGTGGGTGTGGGTGTGGGTGTGGGTGGGTGTGGGTATGGGTGTGGGTGTGGGTGGGTGTGGGTGTGGGTGTGGGTGGGTGTGGGTGTGGGTGTGGGTCAGCGAGGTGTGGATGTGCGTGCGGCTGAAGATTAAAGCTACACCATTGTCTCACAGCCACAGCCACACCCAGACCCACAACCACACCCACACCCACACCCCACACACCCACACACACCCCACATCCACCCACACCCACACCCTCTTTTTCAGCATCATATAACACCTCTAAATACAAATTTTTAGCGCATTTGTTTGATCTGGTGAAAAGTTAGCTCAATTTTACTAGCGAGCACTCACGAGGCTATTTGAAGAATGCTGTCAAAAATTGTTTCTTTAAAGTTGAGGTGTTTTTAGATGACAAAAAATTAACGAAATTTTTTGTGTAATATACTAAAAGATAGAGCATGGAAAGCTGAACAAAATTACTTATTTACATATTATATTTGTGCAGACTGGTTCATAGAGTGTAGGTGTTTGTGTGGGTGTTGTTAAGAGCATCAAACACCCACACACACACGGTATGCTCCTCCACAGAATACTGATTTCTGTAGAATCTTCTGTTACAAAATTGTTTTGATTTTGTAACAATGAAGATACATCTTGTTTTGGATTTTCCTTTCGAAGAATTTAAAATAGATAAGCCATTTGACAAGTCCCTTAAACAAGGACGAAACTGATCATGGCATGCTTCCCTCGTAAAATCGAAATACAAAACTTTTGTATTGTGGTAACTTTTACACACCCACAACCCGATGAAAATAAAGAAGATTCAGACCATGTGGCACCGCCACCGCCACAAGAAAAAGAGTCTGTACTATCTGTAGATGGGTCGCAATCACTTTACCGAAAATAGCTTTGCGACACATCACTTTGCCGACAAATTGTTTTGCCGACATGTACACTTTGTCGACAATTTATTTTGCCGACAAAAAATTGAAGTCAAAAAAAAGATTTAAATTTATTGTAGATACAGTGATATATATGTCAGCATTCATGCTTAAATGCGTCGAATCTCGGATTGATCTAGGCCAATGTCACATTGGACGTACTATTTGCAGGCGAATCTTAGATTGCCTAGGCTAGTTCGAGATTGGACGTATATGTGGGCATGAACGTGATATATATATATAAAGAGATATAGATCTCACCATAAATTACTATTCATTCATGGCTTCAAGTAAAAACAGTGACATCGGTACAAGCAGTTATGCTGAAGTGATTAAATCAACCAAAGGCAAGTGCAAAATAAACATTGATGGGTTCCTGTATATCAAAGACAAAAATCGTGATGATGTGTATTATTGGATTTGCGAACGCAAATCACAAAAGGAAACAAAATGTACTGCAAGAGCAACTACAATTCGTACTGGAGACCAGCATAAGATTCACAAATTTGATGCTCAGCAGCACAATCATGCTCCAGAAGCAAGCAAACCTGAAGTTTTGAAAGCCTGCAATCAAATGAAGGAGCTGGGTCAAATTAGCAACGATCAACCTGCACGAATCATTAACGATGTTATTGCTACAACATCGCGTGAAATACAACCATGTTTACCACGAAAAGATGCCGTAAGACAACAAATCAAAAGAGCAAGACGTGTTTGTGATGAAGAACTTGAACCAAAAACTTTGGACGATTTTAAATTACCAGATGCGTACTCTATTACACTCAATGGAATACATTTTGCAAAAAACATTACCGAAGGAACTGAAAGAATTTTGCTGTTCACAACAGCTGAAAATCTTAAATGGTTGCAAGAAGCGAAGTTTTGGATTATGGATGGAACGTTTAAAACTGTTCCAACGTTATTTCGGCAATTGTACAGCATTCACGCGCCTGCAGGTGGAAATATTAATTTCCGAATTGTTCCATTAGTTTACGCATTAATGACGATGAAAAGCGAAGAATTATATGAAAAATTATTTCAAGAATTAAATGAAATGGCAGAAGAACATGAATTGGAATTAAAGCCAGACTTTATATTAACTGATTTTGAACAAGGTTAAATCAATGCTGTAAAGTCAGAGTTTCCAAGTGCTCAAAGCAAAGGCTGTCATTTTCATTTAGGACAATCAGTATACAGACAAATTCAAGATGCAGGACTGACCAAAAATATGGAACTGACCAAAACTTTAGTCTTCTTATACGACATATTCCAGCTTTGGCTTTTTTAAGTCCTTTAGAAATTCCTGATACTTTTGACGAAGTCAAAGCTTTACTACCATCTGATGCTAATGAGAAAAGGCAGAGTTCAAAGACAGAATCCATTATTTCCACCAAAAATGTGGTCTGTCTTTCATAACATGGAATTTGCATTTCCAAGAACTCAAAACAAAGTCAAAGCGTGGCATAGACGCTGGGCAATATTGATTGCTCGATCTCATGTTGGTATTTTTACTATTATAAAACAAATTCAAAAAGAACAAAATGAAGTTGAAATGGAAATTGAAAAAGCAATGCGCGGCGAACCAGCTCCAAAGAAGCGCAAAGAAGACGCAAATAAAGAAACCAGAATTCAAAATGTTATTGCTGACCGTGGTAATAGATCAACTATGGATTTTCTTCGAGGCATTGCCCATAATCTTTCACTTTGAGTATTTGTAATTTTGATTAAAAGAATTTAAAAAGCTCAAGAAAATAAAGAATTTTCTAAAAAAATGAATCAGTTTTTATTAAATATTAACAAATTTTGTTTGTAAAACAAGTTGTCGACAAAGTGTACATGTCTGCAAAACAATTTGTCGGCAAAGTGATACGGACCACTGTAGATGATAGTAATGATGTCATAGGAATGCATGATGTAAACGAACGATTGTATTTTTGACCAATAGTTCGAGCAACAGAATCCATGATTTCTCGAATGCCCTTATATCAAACAAAAAAAGAAACATGAATAAATAGGCTAATGTATTAGAATTTATTCTTCTCTCCATGTAAAGAAAAATGACCTGTACCTGATATTACTAAATCTTTACGTCGTTGCCATATGTCATAACGATCAAATTGTATGAAACCATTATTTTTAACGATATGATCCATAACTTGCATGACTTGTTGAAATTGTTGTTGTTTTTCAACTGACATATTTATAGATTGTGGTAAAGGAATCATCCAATAAAAAACTCTGAACAGCTTTTATTTGATTCTCGAGAAAAAGCAATTAAATAGTTTAAAAAATTTTCTATATGATAGAATAGTTGTTGAAGTAATCATTGAATGTTAAATTTGATTTTTCTATTTTTTTCTGAACGAAAATAAAGCAAAAAATATATAAGAATCACATGAACTAAAGTCAAACAAACTCATTTATGTCTTATGTATAAGAACAAAAAATAATTAAATCAATTGATAATGATGGATCTTTATTTCATATAAAATGCAATTCCTGAATAGCACTATCATTCACTATTGAATTTAAATAAATATATCTCGATTTGGTTGAGTTATTGACCAAATGAAATTGATATATATCTCGATGTTTGCACGTACCAATTTTACCTTCAGATAATAATATCTTCGCGTCTAAATCGAAATGACAAACAATTTCAAACCAATACTCTCACACTCAACATGAAATGTATGGCAAAGTACGACACATACAACACAAAAATGTACGACATATTAAAATATGACTAAAGGTGTTCGTTGCAAAACATTTCTTTCAGCAGACCTATGACACATTCTTGTGAATGTGTGTGTGGCACATGCCACAACGTTTTTCGAACGCAATTTGAACCTAATTTTTGACACGTGAATTATTTTCTGTTTTCGATATTTAAATAATTACTATATTTTCATTTTGATTCAAACTATAATATCTATTTTTGAAACTCAACACAATCAGTTCTTAAGATATGATTCTTATCGAAATCATTTGCACTTGATCGAACCGCTTCGAGACAGTCTATATTCTCGGCCATTCAGCCATCTTTCGTCATGTTCTCAAATAATAAAATGACTGAGAAATAATTTCAAAACAAAAGAAATACAAAAATGTATAAGTTAAATACGTCTAATCGACTGAATTATATATAGCTGTATATTCGAAACAAACAAGTGAATCAATGGATAGCGCATATAGACTATGACACATCTCTAATGCAACACATTCAATTGCGACACAACAATACGCACATTTTATTTTAGTCTAGTATTTGTGACTTACCTTCAATAGGTTCGTAATTTCCGTTTTGACGGGCGGCTTTTGTATACTCTAATAAACGACTGTATTTTAATGCTTTACCTAAATCTTGATGTAAAACATGCACTGAATTATCACCAATAAATAGCACAATTAAGCCTTTCAAAAATCTTTAAATATTCCCCTTGTGATAACGATGTAGATAATAATGTTATTTTTGTTGATTTTGCTGCTTGTTCTTGTTCTGGTGTTAAAACTGGTTTTACAATACGACGAATTTTAGGTAATGTAAATGGTGATTGAGGGGGAAATGATAATGACATATTGTTTTGCAAGTAATAAGAAAATGGCAAATAGTAAATCTGAATCATAAAATATGAAATTTGTTAGTGATGATACGGGATGATAAAAGAAAACAAGGGTGTGGGTGTGTCAGTGTGGATCTTCTTTTAGTGCATACTCACATCCACACCAACATCCATAGAAAACACATCAGTTAAAAACTTTTTGGTCTTTTTTTCGAGTTATTGGAATATTACTTGAAAAAATTTAACAGCATAATATATTCGCACATATAAACGTCATCTAAAGATGCTACTCGAAAAGCATAAGTATAAAGATTCTTAGGTTTTTCTTTGATTGAACCTTGCTAAGACAAAGTAGATTTTGATTGAGAATACTCGAGAGCTGTACAACTTCATGGATTAAAATACAAGAATTCTAATTTTTTTCTTTTATTTGATAAGATTTTTCGACTGTTTCGTTCTCATTTTGATAATATTAATACGGTTAGCAAGATCATGTGAAATACAAAGTGAATCAGTGTATTATCAAAAGATCCAATTCAAAGTTTATCAAGAACGATTTTATGATATACATATACGGCACAATGTGTCATTCTTTTTAAAACACATCTACGTCAACTTCCTCTTCGTATCAATAAATATATGCGGAAATTTCCCTAATCATTTAGTGTTTCTATGTCTAATAAACAAAACAACATATTGTTGAAATATATATTCCATATAAAAAAATAACCATAATCAACTTATTATTTGTTTATGTATAAAATAATAGTTTAGACTTTATTCTTATTTTTTCACATTTTTGTATATTTGAAAAATTTTGTTTAATTTTACTTAGATCTCAAAATTTCCTGACATATATTTTTCTTGCTTGCTCCTTGCTGAACTTTAATTCATGAATATCTAGTTGTAACATATCTTTCATTGCACGTTATTCAATATATTAACAAGAACAAAAATACTATCATTACAAAAAATTCATGAGTAATACTATCACAACTATTTTATAGGCGTAATATTGATGTCTACTTTCTGTAGTATCGTTAAGAATGAGAGATACTTTCACATTATTTTATGATGATCGATACGTTCTCGTTTCGCGAAGAAAACAAGGGTGAACTCGATTGATCCCGACTGATGTCCAAAAATTCGCTTGAAAAAGCCTGAATCCAATAGGACCAGCACCGGCTTTCAGGCCAACCAGAACAGATACTAATATACTTTGATCTTACGAGGCAAGTATCTCAAGTATCCAATCATTTTTTTTCTTGAAACATACATAACTGTATGCAGTCTTCTGCGCTGATTCCGAATATCAGGGTCTTAGCGATCCATATCCTTTCTAGATTCTATGCAGGGTTGCCAGATTGTCCGAATTAGTCTGAATTTTCAGACTTTTCTAAGTTTTTCCGACTGCCTTCCGACTGTCCGAATTTATCCGAATTCTTGGATTTTTTCCAGATGGTAGTATTTTCTTTAAATTTCCTGTCCATTACAATTTTCTATATATATATTTTGATAGATTTCACATGGCGCCATCTTTATTTTCTTATAATCATTGGGTAATTGATTGTATTATTAGAAATAAGAAGAGAAGGGAGAGAAGAGAAGATTTAATATGATCTTTTTTTTTCAAATCTCATCTCGTCTAAGATTTATTAGAATAGCTTCAATCAATATTTAGTCAAATGAATCATCTATGGTCTAATTATCGCAATCGAATGGATATAGAATTAGTTGAAGCTGAACTACAAATCCGAATGAATTCTGATATTCATTGTTCATGTTTTTATGACTTTCTTTTAACTCAAGACGAAGTATTGACAATAATAGCTTCAAATGAAAAATTTGTTAGAAAGACACGTCTTGATAAATAAACTTTAGTGTTTTTCCATAAGTGTTTTGAATTGTATATATACATATGTATGGATAGTGTATTTTGAGTTGTTTTTCTTGTATTAACAGTCTCTTCTTGAAAATGATGTTTCCTAATGGTGTTATAATTAATACATTTATTTTAACATTGATGAAATATATCTACAGAAAGAATAACCAAATGCAGAAGACTTTTCTGTTAGAAAAAATTCGCTTAAACGTCAAAAAGCTTAAAAATGACTTTCCGAATTTTTTTCCGAATTTTTCCGAATTCCAGCAAAAGAATTCCGATTTGTAAGATTTCGATCTGGCAACCCTGATTCTATGCCATAACTACCAACTCTCTTCTGACAAGGATATTTTTCATCAAAGTCAATTTCTAATGAGTTTACTATGTTTCACTATAAGACAAAATATCTGCAAGAATCCTTCTTTAAGAACACTTCCACCTTAGCTTTTGAATATTAAAATTCATCATTAGACAGAAATGTCTTACAAGTTTCTAAAACTGGCGTACCTTTCTTTTAATTATCTCTTACGCTATTGAGTTCGTCCAATTTACATATTACGCGTTTTTTCTTCTACAATCAATGCTATTTATAATGTCGTTTGATTATGTTCTTATAATTCGTTTGAGGCGCCCATGTGTCATTAATTTGAATGCATCTTTTTATGCTATATGTCACTAAAAACAATGAATTTTACAGGGATACGTTAGAGCACAGCATTCCTAATGCGTTTTTTTTGAGAGAAGAAGGATATTCAGAGATATACAAAAACATACCGTTATATCACCTTCAGAGAAATATTTCACCTCAATAGAGATGTTCTCCAAATAAGCATATGACTGTAGCATAGAAAAATGTACCCCTGAGTATTAAGAAATGAATACAATAGATCTATAACAAATTTGATAGGGCAAAGAAAATTAGTTTGCGTTTTTCTATGCAACGATCAGCCATACAGTGCTTTTTAACTTTTGCTATTGTTGTTCATAACTCAAAATTGTTATTTCCTTTATTAAGGTACCATTAGACGGGTCGTTTATTCATTAATTGTTGTTATTTAAAAATTTATTAAATTTGATTTATAGACAGAAATATTAAATAATCCTTATTTATGAAAATTTTTTAAATCGTAGAATAAAGATTTTTTTGAAATAATTAAACGAAGACTTAATTGAATTATTTTTAACAACTTTTTTTCATCTCATTTCTTTAATATTATTAATTGTTATTTTAAAATTATTATTACATTTGGTTTAGCATAAATATAATTTTAATGATAACTTTATAAAAACTATTCAACTTTTAAGCACACATTTTAGTATTTGATTACTTAGAAAAATTGAATTTACAAACAAAATTAAAAAATTTATTAAGTTTTGAATTACAAAATAAAATATGTTGAAACTCATTCAATATGTAAAGCTTTAATTGAACAAGATTTTTTAATCATGTTGATTATTGATGATTAATATCTTTTTATATTATTACTATTATTTATCTGTTATAAATGTATTCCTTCGGTTACAATAAGTTTTAGTTTTCGATAGAGATTTTATTCGAAATACAGAATATATGGTATAGGTCTGTGTTATTGTTATTCTTCATAAAAAATCCGATCTTCAAATAAAATTATAGAATTTATTGAACGATTATTTATTATCACAAATATTATTTTATCCAATTAATAAAACGTCGAATGAAACATCATTGTACAATTAATTTATCTTTACTCATTCAATAATAAATTAAAGAACAGAATTTCTAAAAAATAATTGCAATAATGTTTCAATCTACATATATTTATCTCTTCGCTACAAACTGTTTCTCATATCTTCTTTTAATTTTATTTACTCCTCATGAGTTAAATAATGTTTTAGTCGTTAAATTCAATTTTGTACTACATTATTTTTATTATAAATATTATTCTAAGTACAATTTATTAAATATATTGACTATCTGCAATTCATACTAAAACAAAATCTATATTATAATACAATTAAATAAAATTATTAAAATAAAATCATTATTTGAACATTTATCCACTAATTTAATTGATTCAAATGTTTCACTAATTGTTCTATTGATATCGGGTTTTTCTACATGATTAAATCGATGTATATATGTATATTAAATATTACAATAAACTCGATATAGATGAAATAATTTAAAATCAAAGTAGAGTGCGGTTCACTATTAGCTTTTAATTATAATATTTTCGATTGTACCTTTTGTTTTTGTTTTTGTTTTCTTTTTTCTTTTCAGTCGTATTTAAATCTTTCTCTACTCTTTTTTATTATTATTATTAATTAAATCCTGAATTTCTCATTTTGCTTACAACTGTAAATGCCGAATCTTGAAGAGTGTTTCAATATATTAATTAATAACACGAAATGCGTCGGCGACATTAACTGTGCATTTATTTAAAATTATTTAATTTTCGACTAGATCGATTGCTGAAAAGCAAGAGTTGAGACTAGCAGATTGATTTGTATCAAAGAAATATAGGTTGATCTGTTTCTCAATTGGCTTATGTGCACCTATGCCCTCATTCTCGACTGAACATCGTCTGTCGCTAATCACTACAGCAACTATGAAATACAAGGAACGCCTATTGAGTAAAACAAGCAAATGTTTGACTTTTTATTTTTCTAGTAGCCAACTAATTCACTATTTATCTCTTCATAGATGTGCGCATGGTATTTGAGTTTGCTTTTGATTCAAAGTTAGTTTTACCCTTGATTTCTTCCAATCATCCCCATATGACTAAGGTTTGTATGATAAATGCATAATTGTATCTCAATATGCTACGACTTTTTTTTCTTTGCCTTTCTATGCAAATTTTCTATGATAGCAAATAGTGTCAACATGTAACGCTTCAGTAGTTTTGTGTGATATTTACCATTAAGACGCAGTTTCTCTTTCATTTTATCGATTGATTGACTGTCGTGCACATCTAGCAAAAAGAAAATCGAAAAAATGGCGTCGCATAGTGAAACATACAAACATTTGGTCGGAAAACATGTTGATGAAGCTGTCGCAGAGCTGGAGGCCAACGGTATGTTGCATGCCAATAGTAAAGTTTTCTCTCTAGTAAAGTATTTTAGGTATGGAACCACGCGTTTACCAATACGCGGG